TAGGTAAAGGAACCAGTATTAAAACAGCTTTGGAAAAATATACTGCAATACACAGCCACCATTCATTCCTTACACTGAAAAGTGTATTGGTGCTTAAAATGACTCTTCTCACTAACTTTCCACCCAACTCTTTAATTTAACTCAAGTCAGGTTTGAATACTTACATGCTGAACTCAACTGTCTTTGAGCTTTTTAAAGAAGAATGACACTGATAGTTGAACCTGTGGACCATGCTGCCTGTTTTCTAATATTATTTGTTGGACTGAAACTTGCAATGAAAAGCTACTATTAAAAAAATAAATGTGTGTGGAGATTAGAGTCCACATTTTGAAATGTCAGTAAATACAGTATTTATATGACAGATCACAATGACTTGTAAAAGGCAGCCATATGTGTATCAAGCTCGTAGTCTTCCTAATGTTTTTTCTTTTAAAAAAAAAAAAACCTTTCATTTGTAAATCTGAAGAAATTGGCACTAAATGAAAACTATCTTTCAAATACTTTCTGAGGAATTTGAGTAAAATCAGGGGTCCTCAGCCTGCGGATCTCTCTCTTTGAAAGAGAGATCACAGGGGCACATGTAGCTTGTGCACTAGAGTCATATCACAACATGTGGGGCAATAGAGAGATTTAAGACAAAGAAATCAAGGCGAGAACATTAGAGTCAGTTTCCCAGTATTTAATGTACTGTTTCACTACTTAACAGTGCCTCAAGGTAGTTTGCTGGTGTACTCTCACAAATAGCACCATTAACAGATTTTTACATGCCTAGGTCACCCTACTTTGATCCCGAAGAAGCCTTAAAACACTGTGCAAACAACAGACTTGAGGCGACATCCCTGAAAGACAGCCACTTCTGGAGAGCAGAGGTGGTCCTTGACATAGCAACAGAACCTGCAGGACAGTTTCACACAAAGAACAAAAGCAAATGATGGTCCTTCTGAAACGACCAAGGATGCTGAGTGTTCTGAGAGAGAAAAATCAAACACAGCCCTGCAAGGCCCGTGGAGAATTTTCCTAGGAGATAAAACCTCTGCTCTAAATGGTCATCACATTACGGGCCTCCAAATTTCGTGCTCCCCCATACATAAACTGCATCTCCAAATGCACTGAAATTATATCTCTGGCATAAGCTTTCTTTTGTTCAGATGCCAGTTTGTAAGAGATCTTTACATGAACAAAAGCTTCCGTCTTTACAATAACCATCTTTCTTCAGAAAAGGCACACGATACACTTTTGGGATGCCAAAGCACACAATAGAGAAAACCAAATAATTCCAGTGAGGTTTGAAGAGCCTTCAGCAAACCCTACAACAATTCTAGTCACCTGTCAATCAGGAAGTATCACATAAAGAATTGTGTGGCATTGCTACTGTCTATTACCTGCGATATTCCTTTTGGTTCACTTGAGATTTTTAAAAAATATATAATGAGTGCATTCAATAATTGTTTGAATTGCTGCTGTGCATTCTGTCATAAATGGTTTATGGATAACCATCAATTGGTTCCGCTCATCAGTCTAACAAGTTCAATGTACTACTCAGAGCAAAGGATGACTATTTATTTAACAGTTCTTGGCAGGAAAATTTGTTGCATGCCACAACTTTACAAAGAACATTAAAATCAATGACAATTTATAAACCAAAGGCTGGGAATTATGCTTTGGATTCCCATAATTCATCAGAATAAAGCTGTCAGATACCTTTTATTATAAATTAATAGCATGTTGTCTAAGAGCGCCCCAGTACAGATGTTTTGCTAGTTCAGTACTGACATCTAGTGGATAATCAAAAATATTCCCCCTTTTTTTTTTTCCAAGTCTTGGATTTTTCCCTTTCCCAAATGATGTTTGTTGCTACTACATCAGTCAGATTTTTATCATGCAAAAAACCATATTTGAGTTTAAGTTTTGTGTATTTGTATTTAGCTAACAAACTTTTCACAAGTTTGAATTTTTAGTGTAAACATTGGCAATGTGTACTTACCATAATTTAAAACCTACATAGCTAACCATACCTTCTTTTGCTAAAAAATATCTTCCATATTTTAAATTTTTTAGTACATGCCATACTTAGGGACTCAATTCCTTCTAATTCTTTACTATTGAATTATACTATAGTAAAGCATCAAATTTCCAACTCTAGTGTTCTCTTAGAAATAATGTTCAAATAAGCATTTACTTACCCTGCATTTGATTAAAATTTAGGATACAAATTACTTATTGTGACCCTTTATTTCCAGTGTAATGTGATTTATGAGTGGTCAATACACTGGGGAGAAGAGGACTACTTAAATGCATTGTTTGTGGATATTGCTCCCCTAAACATTAGTTTTCGGACTGATCTACACAATAATCCATGCAATTAGTTCCATGGCCATTAACATTCAAACTGAAAAAAAATTCTAATGTGCACTGGTAACCTCTTGAGTACACAGTCTTGGCAAGGGGCCCCACCTAGAACAGGGTAGGATTTTTTTTAAGGGACAAAACTGGGCCTTTCCAAATGTTCCGGGACACCTGATCTGGCCCCGTGCTGGATGCAGTTTTTCTAGTGGGTCAAGGAGATTAAAAAGTGCATTTTCTTCAGAGCCTTTCAGAATTTAAAGTATTGGAAAGGCAAGGAAATAAATGAAACTAGCATTTACTGTGTCTCCTTTTGTGTCTGGCACTGCAATAAGACTTTTTATAACAAGCAGAGTAGGGTTAAGGATGAAAATTATTGCTCCAGTGTCATACACCTTCAAGGGGACAGTAATGGCGTGCTCTAGGGCAACAAGCTGAAGTTTCTAGGACAGAAGAAAAAGTACTTCTTCATAACTTGACCATTATTGGCAGACAATCTGTGAAACTCAAACAAAATCAGAATCTGTCTCACTCCTCTTTACAGAACTATAAAATGATAAGAATGATAAAAGAACCCACCTTATAAATTTTGTGACATTTTTAAAGTCTGTTTTAAGTTACTTTGGAGGCAATATGTTATAATTATTTCAGAAGGCCTATGGAGTTATTATGAAAGTGAATAAATTAAGCCAAACCTAGTATCTTCCCATAATAAAGAGAAATCAACAAGAGGAGTTCTTTCTATGAAAGTGGGAGGTGAACCTACTTAAAAAGTATAAACTCATAATTTTTATAAAGTAATAGATAAGAATTTTTCCTGGTTTTCTTACTTAAGGAATTCTATAGTTCAAGCCCCAACTTCCAAATCATTTGAACATCTTGCTAGATAAGCTTTTTGTAGGTCACTGAGATAAAGACAATGCATAAATAAAGGCAATTGAGTAGTATTTTCACAACTAACATGCCTTCCCCATGGAAGGTTTGGGGTTTTGGGGGGGTTTTTTGTTTTTTGTTTTGTATTAAACAGACTAGGCTGCCTACTCTATCATAGTTAACTAACTTCAGTTCTTTCAATAAAACAGTCATCACATTCACATTAGCCCTTCATACTCCCTCATTGTTTAAATATCTGAAACTCTCCAGTCCAAATCCTATAGTCCCATCTCAGCTATTGTTCTACAAAATCTCACTTCAGAGGGATATTTCAAAGATGCATGGGTGGGGAAATCCTCACCAGCTGCGATGCACCTGCTGCAGTCAGTCCTAGAAGCAGGGAAAACGCTGGGCTGTGGAAGCAAGGTCTGGGGTTCAGACAGGACAGTCCAGCACTGGGCAGGTGTCGAGTGCAGGTCGGGAAGTTTCGGGTGGGTGCTTAAAGTTAAGAAGAAAATGGTTTGAAATAAATTTTAGAAAGAGAAGAAGGAGTGGGAGAGGAGGACAAGGAAGGAGTGAGGGCCCTGTGAATGTGGCAAAGACAACAAGCAAAACAGACCCAAATGTCTCAAAGGAAACTCACAGGCATGAGCTCAAAATTGAACTCTAACCCAAGGACACACCATTGTCCTTCCATGTCCTCCCTGCTGCGCTCAGAAGAGCAGCTTCCTCCTGATTAACGCAGACAAGTTCTCGAAGTTACAATAACTCTTATTAAAGCATCCAGTACTACTTTAGACTGTGATTGAAGGAGACAAAATGATGATGCCTATTATGTTGAAGACACCTTAGAGAACACCTAATCCACCTCTTTAGTCATCAGCCAGGAAGAGCTGCAGAGGGGTTGGGGTGCTGGAGACTGTCAACGCTACTGAGTTGTGGTGCAGTGGGCCAGGAGGTCCTCAGGGTTGAGACTGAAGGGAAACATCAAGCCCAGGATGGATTTAGGGCCAGAAGATGAGTAGGATGAGGGAAAAAAATCCAAAAGAGTCAAAGAAGGCCTGCCCCAGGAGTGAGTGGTGGAGTAAAATTGAAATTCCTCAATAGGAGGAGCAACTAGGAGCAAGTACACAAATAAGGCCAAAGACCAGAATCAGGTCTTGCACCAGAATCAAGTGGGCTTGTGAGAAATCAAGGCAAGCATTAAAAAAGGACAGCAGAGCAAAGCAGATGGATGAGAGCCCAGAGACCCACAAAGGAAAAAGGACAGTCAAGCTCAAGACTTCAGCCCTGTGTGCACTACCCAAATAGACTTCAGGATCTAAGGTCATTCTGACCCCAACTTAGAGATTTTATATGGTTTTGTGAAGAAATACACCAATCCTGGCCCTGCTAAATTCACAGGCATGAGTGGTCATAGGATCACCTGGAGAAAGCAACGAGTCCATGGGCAGTAGGAACCAGGGTACCAAGAAGACAGATCTTCATAGAACCCAGGTTAATAGGACGTACACAGTGTAAACAAAAAACACAGTAATATTTAGATATTTTTAAATATTACAGTAAAAGAAACATTGCCATTAACCCTCCTCAAAGTGCACTCCCTCACTTCAAACACAATTATCCCATCATTATTGCAACTTTCTGAAACAGTTCTAGAAGTCATTTCTTGAGTGTCTTTAGTTCAGGCTGCCTAGATGTCCTGGGCATTTTGACTTTGGGGAAGAGTCAAAGTTTGCACAGTGCAGATCCATATCTGGTAAATAAGGTGGATGAGGACATACCATAATGTTTTCATGACACTGTCTTTGCTTTCGGTGACACTCAGCAGCAGCGTTTACCGGATTTGTGACCGTAGCTCATATAGACACTCAGGCAGGACCTCCAGAACTGCTACAGAAAGTACAGAGAAAAATGGGATAAGTGTGTGTGAAGATGAGTGGAGGGGAATTAATGGTAACATGTCTTTTACTATAATACATTTTTAAACATTGGAAACATTCACCATGTATTTTGATTACACTTCATACTATAAATACCTGAAGGTGTAATTCATACACATAAGGTGTATTTCATAAAGTGTAATTCATACACAATGAATAAGGTGTAATTTATACACATCCACAAGATAGTATTTGGGGACAGAGATTACAAGTTGATAATCTAAGGTCATCCTATGTTTGTTTCTTCTCATTTCCTCTCCCTTCAAATATGAGTCATTTTATTATTTGCTAATAGTCTTTCCACCTCTGGCCAGCAATGTATTTTAAAATTAGTTCTCTGGGTAAATTCACATCTATTTCTTCTTCAACTTTGTTTGCAAACGTGTTATTTCCTAAATAGCCAGGGTGCGTTATCTATTTAACAAAGGTTTGTTCATGCCTCTTTCAAATCTGCCTTAGTGCCCTGTATCCAACCGAGGGCTCAAGGAGGCACGTGGTGAATTCAGAGCATCTGTTCTCCAGCTGACAATTTTGAATCTAAAAAATTTAGACTTCCCCCAGATCACATCAAATGCCATCTTTTAATTATGTACTAAAACATTAAAGCTGGACATGGTGGCACACACCTGTAATCCCAGCTCCTTGGGAGGCTGAGCCAAGAGGTTTGTTTACAACTTTCAGGCCAACCTGGGCAAGTTAGCAAGAAACTAAAACTAGAAAGGGTTGGGGATGTAGTTCGTAGTAGAGAGGTTGCCTAGAATTTATGAATCCCTGGGCTCTGTCTCCAGTACCACACACATACACACACACACCACTGTGCAGTCTAAAATTATAACTAAATGAGTTTAAATGATGAAAAATAAAATTACACCTGTAAGAATTTTCAACTGAATAATTTCAGATTAATCGATGATTAGCAGCAAAAAGGAAGCTGGGTAGTTTATAAATTAATGTCATTAATCAATGATTTATAGTTAATTTACTTCACTTAAGTCCTTCTTTGCATCTGTCACCAAGACTTTCATCTTTGAACTTCAAAATTAAAAAGCCAAACTATTATTTGGAGAAATGGATAGAGGTAGGGAGCCAACTGAAAACTCCAACAGTTTTCTGTGTATTCCTTTTGATATTTTATCAGTAAGGTTTTAATAGTTACACAAGAACCACATGTTGATGTTATGTGATAGTCCCAAGCAGAGATATCAATGACTGTAACTGATGAAATAACTAAATATCAACAGTAAAAGGACCTCCAAGATGGTAAAAAAGAACATCACAGAAGGGGGAAAATGAGTTGCTGGCCAACATGTAAACAAGAATTTGACTCTGTTTATTTCGTCCTTCCTTCAGATAGAGAGGAGAATTGCTTTGTGCCTTTTACCTCTCATGGTCCAATTTAATACCTTCCTGTTTTTCAAAAAGTGATTTATGCAACTCATTGGAATATTTCCAGGAGAAAAATGAGAAGGAGATAGAAAGGGAAGAGAGAACGCCCCAAAAAAGAGAAATTCACACAAGAATCTGAAGTTCAATACATAATAATGCTCTTGGCAAATGCTTTCCAAGACCCCCCACTCCTGTCTTAAATTCTATTTATTTTTTATGAAAAATGTCAAAATAGCTATCCTTGAGAAAGATCTCTATTTTTCCCCAAGATCAGTATATTTGAGAAAAAGGAGCACAAATTTCCCTGAAGCCCCGTGTTTATTTTCCAATCTGATCTGATGTGCTTCAGACACTACAAGGCCAAACAAGAGCATTGCCGAGGAGCCATAAAGAAAGACAGCCATCATGTTACTAACGGTTGAGGCCACTCCCCCTGTACACCATGGCAGTGGTGCTTCTCGGGTGTGTTTTCAGGAATCAAGGTGAAATAAAGGAGAATGACTGGGAACACAGGGGTTTGAGCCCCATGTCTGGTTATCATGTGTTGCATAGAGATAAAGCCCAGGAATTAGCCAAGCCCCCTCTGTTTCAAGGGCAGACATTCTCCTGTGTCAGCCTGTACTCAGGGCCAGCTACAGACTCAGACAAGCAGCAACTCTTTGTGAATAGCCATCACCTCTCCTACCCTCAGCAGGCTGCTCAGGAGAGTTCTAAGCTCCTCTTTTTATGAAATCCAAAGGTGGAAATCACCACGCTACTCTGCTTCCCACCTCCCCCGAGTTTCCTGCCATGCTTTGGCAGTGTGGTTGGTCAATGCTTCTTTATCTGCACGGATGAGCTCGTGTGACTTATTGTGTACGCTACCTGTGGATGTCCACCTACTTCAGCCTCACCTAGGATGCCCTCAGAGAACAGGAACTGGGTCTTCATTCAGATATATGCTGCTTTTTTTAATTTTAATATATAAAAATGCCAACAAAGATAAATCGCTGCACCTGGAAAACTGCTCAGAGACCTTTGTCTTATGTCCTCATTTTACAGATTCATTTATTCATTCATCTAACATTATTTTTAATCCCAGAATCATGAAAAACTTCAAATGATTTTCCCAGAGAAATTAAATATGTTGCTCTGTGTTGCCCAAAAAATTAAAGGGTGACATTTTCTTAATCATCTTTGTTATTTTCCAATGGTATTTCCAGGCCAATCAGAATGAACACTAGAAATAAATAAATAAATACACACACACACACACACACACACACACACATTTTTTTTTTTTTTTGGTGGTACCAGTGATCAAACTTAGGACCTTCCACTTGCCAGGCAGGTGCAGTGCCACTGAGCTACATCCCCAGCCCCTAGAAATATTTATCTTCACTCCCTAATATGTGGAATCTAAAAATGATTACCTGAAATGGGCCAGGCCTGGCAAGCACAAGGTCCTGAGTTCAATCCCTGGTACCAAAAAAAAAAAAAAAGTGATGATCTGCAAGTAGAGGAGAGACTATTATTAGACAAGAGGAACAAGATGAGAGAGAGGGTAAAGGGGAGTGGATATGATCAAATTATACTGTATGCATTTAAACTCAATATTTTATAAAATGAATAAGCACTAATAATAAAAGGGAAAAAAGTAAATATCCATCTTTAGTTCCCTAATGTCACTCACTGAGGAGCATATACTTTCTCCTCTTCTAAGCTAATCATAGTTGCTATTCCCAATATTTTTTTTTCTCAATGGTAAGGAAAGTATGAAATTAAGCATAAAGACCTGTAACAGCAAACTTTTTCTATAAAGAACAGATAGCTTAGGCTTGCATAACTCACAATCTCCTCCTCAATTATTTAACTCTACTGTTTTAAATCAAAAGCAGTCGTAGACAAGAAGTAAATTAATAGGCTCTAATTGTGTTCCAATAAAATTTTACCAAAACAGGTTGAGGGCCAGATTTTGCTGGTGGCCTATAGTTTGTTCAATCTTTGTCTTAGTTACTTTACGCATTGCTGACACAATATACCCAACACCCAAAGTTAAAGGAGGAAATGTTTATGTCACTCACAGTTCATAGAGGCTTCAGTCCCAAGTTGGCTGGCTCCAGGGCAGGGCAGCATGGAAGAAGGCAGTGAAGCTGCAAGCAGCAAGTGACAAGCGATGCTCTTCTTTCTGTTTCTTATATCTTCAGGCTACCCGCCGTAGAGCACCCTTAATCCCAGCACTGCACCATGAATCAATCCCAACATCACATCCTTGATCCCAGCAGCACACACCCTAGATCCAGCCACTTCCGAAAACCCCCACTGTGACCACATGAGGCTTTCCTGATGTGGACTGTTACCTAGGAGTAATTACCAGCTAGCTTACCATCTTTCCCAAAACACACATTGCCTTATCCCCAATTATAAATCCTACCTCTTGATGAAATCCCTTAAAATAGTGTTCTCCCATGGAAGTTTCTGCTGTGATTAAAATCTCCTGTATCTGTGCTTTCCAATATTATCAACACTAGCCATGTGAGGCTATTGGGAAGTTGAAATGTAGCCAGTGTACTTTAGGGACTGATTTCTAAATTCTACCTAATATTTGTCAATCTGAATGTAAGTAGCCACATGTAGCTAGTGGCTGTCATGCTAAACAGTGTAGCCTTAAGGAGCAAGAAAGTCCCTCAGGCATTACTTCAGAGCCAAAGTACTGAGGATTCTATTGTCTTCTCAAAACACAATGTGTACACATGTATTTGTACCAAAATATGTATGACCAGACCTGGATATTTCAAAAAGCTTCCTCTTATAAATGAGTGCTTTGAATCGAGTTTCTCAATGTAAAACGTATTATTTACTTTATAAATGTTGTACTTCTATATAACTTTTTGGCCAGCCATCAACTAGATGAAATGTATGACACTTTTATTTCTTTTTAGATAGCCTTGTATTAAATGTGACTTAATAAACACATCAACAATTGTTAAGAGTTGAGGATGGATGGCTACCTTCAGGGTTCTCTCTACATGTCTAAAAATAAAGAAAGGAATTGGTATAAGGCAGTGTCATAAGTTTCCTGTTAAATGCATATATTTTACTAAGAGGAACTGGGAGTGGGTAAGAGAAGACTAAAAAGAGTGTGAAACACTGAGTTGAGCATTGACCAGAAATAGGGAGACAAAGTATTTCAGGAAAAGAGACCATCATTTTAAAAACTCAAGTAAGTGGTAATAAATTCTAGTTTGGGGGAACTCACAGTAATCTGATTGATTAGAACACAAGGATGCAGGACATAAATTTCTACAGATAAATTAAGAAAGTTAGACTAGAACCAATTTGAAAAAGCCATTGCATGTTTGGAAAATCTCTGTCAAGCACTAAGGGAATCATCGAATTTTAAAATGGCAGAGGGAGGTGACATAGATAAGATCTTTGTCATTATTCTAGCAGCCATTTGGAAACACTGGAGGCAGGGCAAATGCATAAATAAAACCTTTGTATTAATGTTTAATGCTGAAGGTAAAAAGATTGAATCATACATCACTGGATTAACGACCACGAAGATTACCCAAGCCTTCGTAAAACATGTATCAGAGGTCACAATCTATTACTCATCAGACCAAATGAAGCCCACAGATGTGTTTTGTCCTAAAACTTTCTTTTGATATTCTTATTTGGCTCTGATATTTATATCTCAGGGGATTTTACATGAAAATTCAGTTTCTCTTCAGAATGTGTATTTCTTTTTAACCACTGTAAAATTGGGCAACTCTGAGCCTGCATTCCATTCTGGTGAAAACCCACAGTTTCTGGGGAGCAGCTACTGCTTTCCATGCTTTCCACTACTTCCTGTTACTTGTGTTCCAGTCAATTTGACTCATTTATGATACCTGCCTGCCCTCAAAGGCAACTGAGTTTTTCTTATACCAACTTGATACAGTTGATTTGGTTGAAAGTTTACAATTTCATTGGGTTTTAGAAACTTCCTTTATGAATACTGTCTTCGACAATGCTCATCGTATTTTTAGTCTATCCACAATGGAACTTAAAAATGTTACTTCCTAATATTCAACATTCTCAAACCTTTTCTTTAACTTAGGCATATACACCCTTCTTGGCTAGCTTCATCTCAAAAATGTAGGAGAAACAATAAAAGAATTAGCAAACGGATATTGGACCCTAGCCTTAACTCGTTATGTTACTTCTGTTGGACTCTGTAGATAACCTGTAGTCACATATCTATCTGTGCCATCTTCCTTGTGGCCTCATGGCAAGTGTAGAAGGGCAGTTCTCATGATTTGGCCGATCCTGAAGCTTGGGATTAGTGCCACCTGGTTGTTTTAAATATATGATAAACTCATCCATTTCAAGATACTACTTCTACTTGGAAGCTATGAGTTTTTAATCTGTTCAGTATCAACTAAGATGCAAATAATTAGCAATATTAATAGAGGTCACACGTGAAATAATTTTAACCCAAGGAAGTCATATTATACCAAGTCCTCCACTAAATAGATGCTACTGCTTTGTTGACCTTCTGCTTGTTGAATGAGATATCCATATATAACAGTCATTGACTGGTTAACATATTTTGTTCTTCATTTGTGAAACTGTGAGCATACATGTTCTATTACTGCTGTACAAAAAGATTGAGTGAAAGTGAAATATGTTCTGAAAGTGTTGATATAAATGCTGTATGATCTTCCACAAAAAAAAATATAGAATTATGCTTGCTTTAGAAGAAGTTTCCATTCATGTGAAGGTTTATAAAGTGGGGAGCAGCTGAAGCTGTGAAAGCATGAGTAATTCTCATCATGGTTTTGTGATGACCAAGTCAGGAGGGCAAGGGTGGTTCATGAGGACCCTCCCTCCCTTTACCAAGAGTTTATAATGTCCTGACTCTTCTAGTTCTAAACATGAGGGTTGGGTAGGAGGTCAGAAATTGTTTGACTGTGGATTCCTAGACTGAAGCTATAGATAATTGTGATACATGAATTCTAGACCCTCTCCTTAGGCCAAATTTTGGAGAGCTGGAAACCTAGAACACTCAGTTTAATAAATACCCTCACCATGCACCTGGCAAACTGCATAGAACTGCTGAGCTGGAGGAGGCCAGAATCAAGGCAGTTGTCTCTACTATGGACTCAGAACTTTGATCCCCCATGACTTTCCCTGAGCTGTGGGCACAGGGCAGACAGCAGGGTGGAGAAAGTTGTCTTGTTAGCTGGTGTCAAAAATTATTCCTTCATTAGTCTGACTAGCTAAGCTAATACAGCCAATCAAGTTCCCAGGCAAAAAAAAAAAAAAAAAAAAAAAA